ACATCTGAAAACCTGTCTACTGATTTAGGTAAATGTGATCATTTTGCAAAATGCTCAGATACACACTCATAAACATCAGCACCTGTATGACAATATTTTTCTGCAAAGGTACCTAATAAATCTGTACCTAATAAACTAGAATGTTATGACATCAGTCATGACATTCGTACACCTGGTTTTACCAAAAATGCATGCCAATACATAAACAACTACATTCAGCATCACAACACTAACTCGAATCAGTGTATCCCACCAACTTGCATTCTTTTCCTTTATCAACTACAGGAAATAAAATTCCATAATCGAAAGTTCCTTTGAGATACCTTAGTATCCTCTTCATTGCTGTTAGATGTGATACCTTTGGCTTCTGCATAAATCTACTTACCATACCTACACTGTATGACAAAGGTATCTCAATGATCCAATAAGTCTTATGTATTGGGTTGGATCAACATCATCTTCATCTGCATCTTTCGACAGTTGCAATCTTGGTTCTGCAAGTGTCGAAGTTGGGTTGCATTCTTCCATCTCAAATCTCTTGATAATTTCTCCTGCATATCTTCTTTGATGCATCATCAAACCTCTACTGCTCTTGTAGAATTCGATTCCAAGGAAATATGAAATCTCACCCAAATCAAACATTTCGAATTCCTTGTTGAGATCACCTTTGAAGTCTTCGACCTCACTTTTACAGCTACCTGTTATCAATAAATCATCTACATAGAGACATAGTATAAGCAATTCACTATTGCTTCTTCTTACATATACTCCATGTTCAGTTATACACTTTACAAATTCCTTCTCCCTTAGGAAACTATCAATTTTCTTATTCCAAGCCCTTGGAGCTTGTTTCAATCCATACAGGGCTTTATGCAGCATGTACACCTTTTTTTCTTCGTCATGTTTCACAAACCCAACTGGTTGTTTAACATAAACTTCTTCTTCTAAGGGTCCATTTAGGAATGCACACTTCATGTCCATCTGACATATGTGCCAACTGTTTATTTCTTCTAGACCAACAACCAACCTGATTATTTCGATCCTAGCAACAGGTGCAAAAACTTCATCAAAGTCTATTCCTTCTTTCTGTAGAAATCCTTTTGCCACAAGTCTTGCTTTGTGTCGAGTTACTTCACCTTTCGAATTTGTTTTCACTTTGTATACCCACTTGACATTAATTTCCTTCTCGCCTTGAGGCAATGCGATAAGTGACCAAGTATTGTTGTCTTCAATAGACTTTACTTCTTCGTTCATTGCTTTTACCCACTTCGAATTTTTTAATGCTTCAGTTGCATTAACAGGTCTAACATCTGCATAGAAAGCATAATGTACCAGATCACCTTCATTATCTATTACATCATTTGATGTAATCACACAATCTTGTAATCTTGCAGGCATGCGTCTTGTTCTTTGAGGCCTGCTTGTACTTGGTATATCTGTTGGTTCCTCTTGTCGAATTCTCTTTCGACTTGGGTTTCTGGCTCTTCAAGAAGGATTCCCACTGAATCTTTCTTGACATTTTCAGTCCAATCCAATTCTTTAAACTCATCTATGATCACGTCCCTGCTGATCACAATCTTCTTGTTCTCTGGATCGAACAACTTGTAGCCTCTTGTCGAATGATATCCAACTAGAATCATTTGACTTGACTTGTCATCAAGTTTTCTTCTCAACTGATCTGGCACATGTCTATGTGCAATAGATCCAAATACCTTAAGATGACTCAAGCTAGGCTTCACACCAGACCAACATTCTTTTGGAGTAATTCCTTTTAGCTTCTTTGTAGGACATCTGTTCAAAATGTATGTTGTAGTCGAAACAGCTTCACCCCAAAACTCTTTAGGTAAATTCTTGGCTTTCAACATACTTCTCACCATATTCATGATGGTTCGATTCTTCCTTTATGCAATTCCATTTTGTTGTGGAGTATAGGGTGGCACCACCTCATGCATAATCCCTTCCTTTTCACATAGTCTTTCGAAGTCTTTCGACATATATTCTCCACCACTATCAGTTCTCAAAGCTTTGAGTTTTCGACCACTTTGTCTTTCGACCATAGACTTAAACTTGGAAAATACTTTGATCACTTCACTTTTCTTCTTAATCAGATAAGTCCACAGCTTTCGACTGAAATCATCTATGAATGTAACAAAGTATTTGTTACCTCCCATCGAGTCCACCTGGATTGGTCCACATACATCAGAGTATATGACTTCAAGACTAGCCTTTGACCTGCTTCCTACATCTTTGCTGAAGCTATTCTTGTGTTGCTTCGCCTGCACACATTCCTCACATACCTCGTTTAGAATGTCGATTTCTGGAAATCCCGAAACCATGTTTCTTCTCTTCAAATCTCTGATGTCTCTGAAGTTGAGATGGCCTAGTCTATAATTCCATATCCATTCATATCTGCTAGCTGCAGTCGAAAGGCACTTGTGCTCCATCACATTAAGTTTAATCTTGAAGGTTCGATTCTGAGACATAGGAGTTTTCAAGATTAATCTCCTATTTGCATCAACGACTCTTATCATCTTATCTTTGATTGAGACTTTATAATTTTTTTTCGACCAACTGTCCTATACTGAGAAAATTGCTCTTCGTGCCTGGTATGTACAACACATTAGAAATTACTGACCTCTTGTCATCTTTCCTCATAATCATAACATCACCAATACCTTCAGCTGCTAGGGTATTTTCATTTGCAAATTTTACCATATTTTTCATTGAGGGCTTTATATTGACAAACCAGTCTTTCCTTTCAGACATATGTGATGAACATCCTGAATCTAAGTGCCATTGGTCCTTGAATCTATCTTCATATTTTGTTGTGACCATCAACATCATCTCTTCTTCTTCTTCTTCTTCTTCATCTTTTGCAAGCTTTGCATCACTTTCTCGATTCTTTCGTTTTTCTGGACAATCCCTCGAATAGTACCATACTTCTGACAATTGTAACATTGAATGTGACTCTTATCGGGTTTTCGACCACCACCTCTTCCTCTATTTGCAACATCACCTCTTTGGTTGCCTTGGTATGGCCTTCTTTGATTCGACATGTTTCCTTCGATATGGTTTCCTCTACCATTCGATTTGTTGTAGCCACCTCTACCTATGTCGAAACACTTTTCTTTGCCTTTGGTTTCTTTTGCTGAATGTGCTTGTAAGACCATATAACTCTTCGATTTTCCTGCAGCTCTTTCATTCATTCTTTGTTCATGAGATTCAAGCGTCCCTTGAAGCTCTTCCTTTGTCAATTTCGACAAGTCTTTCCCCTCTTCTATCGCTACCACTATGTGGTTGAACTTAAGGGTCAAAGATCTTAAAATCTTTGAAACAATAGCTCTTGTTGTTAATGTTTCTCCACATATCTTGATTTGATTTACTAGTTTTGTAACTCTAGTGAAGAAATCAGATATGCTTTCATTGTCTTTCATCTGAAGCAGTTCATACGTCATTTTGTGAGTTTGTAACCTCACTTCTTTCACCGTCTCAGCGCCTCCAAAAGACTTCTTAAGAATTTCCCAAGCTTCTTTTACAGATTCTGAATCACTAACCTTTTCGAAATTGACTGGACTGACACATTGATGAATTATAAATAATGCTTTATAACTCAGCTTCTCAGAGTCTGTGTATTTCTTCTTTTCTTTTGTTGAAGCGTTTTCTCCAAGCGCTTCGACTCCATCTTTTACAAGGTCCCAAAGACCTTGACACCTGAATAAGACTTTCATCTGTTTGCACCAATTCTCATAGTTGTCAACTTTCAGAATTGGTAGCGTTGGATAGTTTGCATTTCCATAACTTGTCATCGTGAATTCTTCAATCGTTCTTGATTGATACTTCCCTTGAATCGAAACAAAAGCTATTGATACCAGATGTTGGAAATCCACCAAAGTCTATGATGAATTTCTACCACAATGGCAATTTAATTATGAGACAAACAAAAAAAGAAGACAAGACAAATAATTTCTGCAGAGTTTCTCTTTGCTCACAAACGGTGAAAACTTTGTTATTCACTTGCAACTGCAAATTCTGTGAATACAACTTGCTTGACTTGCTTAAAAAAAATAGGGGTTACTCCCTTTATTTATAACTGAGCTTACACCCTAAGCCCAAAGTCCAAAATACTTTTTTTGTTACTAAATCAAATCTAATTTATTCTAGACTTAAATCAAATCTATTTAAATCTAAAACAAATCAAATCTTTTCGACACATAGTTTCGACACACTGAATTACAATTTAACAAGATGTGTTTTAATTTTAAAAAAAAGTATAAAATATATGTTTTTGTTAAAAAAAATAAAAAAAAATACTAGTGTCATAATTTTATTTAAAAAAATATAAAATTTTTGTTAAGATTTGATCTCCTTAAATCGCCGATTTGTAGAGATGAAAATGAGAAACAATATTCTTCTATGACAAGAATAGGAGATGAGGATAAAAACAACAACATTTAAAAGAAAACGAGAGAAATAGAGAAATATTCTCTACACTGTTACATATTCTCTATCCTGTTAATATCCCTAATTATCCTAACTCAAGTGAAAGTAAACTTAAATTTGTTAATTTCTCATATTCAAGCATTTATAGATCAAAGATACATTGAAACAAAAAAGATTATATTAATCATGGTAAGTCCACTTTTCCGATAGAAATTAAATCAGCAAAGTCCTGCCGTTGAATACTCGGCACTATAAAATATTATAAAAAAGGAGGGGAAAAAATAATAACAGTATTGTTTTATACTTGTAATATGCTCGTGCTTTCCGCGTTTGGTGAACTTTTTAAATTCTAAATATTAAAAAAAAGAGCAAGTTCATCACCCCACATCATAAAAAAAAAACAGCTAGATAAATTAATAATATAATAATAATAATTTTTCAATTCAAAGTTTCACATGCTAAAATATATTAATATTTTTGTAATAATTTATTTTTGACAGAAAATGAAGAATCATTTCGTTTCTCAGTGGTGTATTGAGAAATGATGAAAAAAAACTTACTTTTTGAAGAATTGCAAAGAGTAGAGAGAAGTTCCTTGAACCAGCTCAACTGAACCGTTAATGAATAATTGGTACCAACTTTAACATCCCTCTCTTCAAAGTAACTAACGTCCAACGCAGTTGCTCCTATAACCGCAAAATTCACTCCATCCTTTGCTGCATTATCTTCCAATACACCATTTTTTATTCCCAAATACGGTTTCACCATTGGAATTCCTAACAATTCAGCTGCAAAAAAACTCAACAACAGTTAACAGCATAAAGAAAGTGACACATAAGCAAGCAAGCATACCTATGAAATCGATGATGAGACGTCCATCGGAGCAACGGTTAGATGGATGATGAAAGTAGGATTGGCCGTAGGGAGGAAAGAAGCAGTGATTAGAGAGTTCGGAGGAGCTGTAAAACAGGTTACCGGTGTCGGCTAAGGAATCACCGAAGCTGAAGATGGAGGAGTAAGAGGGACATGCCGCCGCGGTGAATAACGGTGCAGAAGCAGCAATAACAAGAAATAGTAATAGTAATGTCATTGTGCTCCATCGTTGTTTAGAAGCAACCGCCATGAGACTTTGTGAAAGAATGGTATTGCACCAACCTTTCGGCATATTTCATCTTTTCGTTTACTTTATTTTATAATAATGCACGATTAGGTGTGTGATTGATTGCACACTATTTTATATTACCCCATGATTGCTTCTTACAAAAAATGTCTAGTATTTATTTTAAATTAATCACAATTTAGATAAGGGGAACCATTTTTTATTTTGGAATAAAGATAAGGAGAAACATGAAAAGATTTCAGGAATAATCAACTTTTATAATTAAAATGGCCTTCATTTTAATATGGAGAAATTAACTCTATTTATATTAGAAAATTAGATTAATTAAAATAAGAAATAAATTAAATTGAGTTAATAATTAAATAAAATAATTAAAGTTTCAAAATTAATTTTGGATTTTAAATATTTTTATTTAATTAGATTGGATGTTTCTTAAATTAATTTGCTTGCTCACAAAGTTAATGCTAAAAATAACAAATCAAAATTTAAACTTACTTTATTTAGAGTTTTTATTATAAAATGTATAAAATTATTGTTTAAATGAAAAAAATATTTTAAAAAAGTTATAAATAAAAAAAAAATTAAATTAATAATAATATTTTTGTGATTTTTTAATTAAATATAAATAAAAATAAAATTAAAGTTAGTAATAATAAAAAATATATATATATATATCCAAAGTGCACCAAGTGAGATTCGAACCCATGACCTCATGCTTGCAATCTCTATTTTCTTAGAAATTGTGTTATGTTGTTTATTTGAAATAAAAACTCAATTGAAAGTATATGAAGACGGACAATCATTTGTTATTTTAAAAAATACAATTAAATTATTATGTATATTTTTAAATAAGTAAAATAATTTAAAAATGAATATTTATAAAAACTAAAGAATGTTAGTGTAAACGAACCAAAATAATTTTAAAATCTAATTTTGAAAATAATTTTGACTGTAGCACCGAGACAGACAAATTTGGGGTATGACAGTTGCCCCTATTTAATTATTCTGCGATTGAAGCGTGCGAGTATATGAAGTTTCACGCATTCGGATCAGAGAGTTATTAAATAATAGAAGACCCCAAAATTTGGACCAAAGATTATAAGGATACACCATACAACATTCCCAAGTGTGGGAAAAAATAGGCAAAGTTGATGATGCATCATCCTATCAGAGTTTGGATAGAGAGTATGATTGAACAGTAAGATTGACCTAGATATGACGACGCAGATAACTTGTCAATACCTAGAAAAGAGATCGTAGACTTGGGATATTTACCGCAACTTAGGAGGTAAATAACACAAGTTTTAAAATCGATTTACTAACGCTTCGAGACTAATATAGTAACATAAAATTTATCTATCCAACACAACCTAGGGGATGAATAAAACAAAGTTTGATAATACATTGTCACATAGAGACTAACACAATGAATTATATCGCATATTTCATTATGTTTACTACAACCTATATAGTAAAAATACGAGGACGAACCTGTGCATTTATAACGACCTAGAGGATAAGTGACACAAGGATAGACTTATGTATTCATCACGACCTAGATGATGAATAGTATAAATCTGAAAATTCACATACCTATCACAACCTATAGAATAGATATTTAAAAAAGTTTATGCATTTATTGATGCGTCATCAACTGCACAGAAATATCGAAGTAATATAAAAGATTGTCGAACCCACAAAGACCAATGTCAACCTACTGTAATCTATTGTCGCTTTGTAAAGCTAAGGCTAATGAATGATTAATTTAGGGGAAACTAAGAACTAAATCTGAAATAAAATAAGATCAAGGAAATATATATTAAAAGAGAGACCGGAATGTGTATTCTGCATATCTCTGGGACTTTGTAACTCGTTGGCTTATACTGATGTTAAAAATGTGTAGTAGAAAATATCTATTTAAAGACTGAAGCTCGCACTCTCGTGATTTTGAATAAATCCGCATTCCTTAACCATGAGATTTTGCTCTCGCTCACCCATTTTAATTAAGGAATGTGTTTTGAAAACTGAACAAGTTCTAATCAATCCTAAAGCATTCTCGTTGTGTTGAGAACTAATGCCTAGTTTCTACTATCTGGTTCGACTCTCATGTTCTCCCAGTGCCGGCTTAAATCTTAGTTAATTTCCCACTTTCGTGGCAAAACCGTGTTAAGTAACCTCTTACTCATGTTAAAGTAAAACATTTCAATACTTAAGAAGTGGCATATATTGACCAAATCCTTGCGTCCTCTGTAACACCCCTTCTAAATAACCCGCGAATATATTAATTAAATCAGAGTAACATGGAAAACAGGGATGTCAGAATTCAGGATAAATATAAAAACCTCAAATCTACAGTTATCATGCTTTACAGGAGGAATTATTAAGATAAATATTCAAATCAATATCATGTTCTACACAGCGGAAATGTCTCAAAACCGGAATAACTTCACTTCATAAGTATTCCCAACATAAATTAAACAATAGAGTATAAAATAAAACTCATTATTCAAACGTTTCCCCCAGTGTTACAACCTATCAGAGCACGACACTGACACGCGAACTTAAAGTAACATAGCTCTAGAGCCATCCTCACCAATTTCTGAGCTGCTAACTTTAATCTGAAATCATTAAAATAAGGGTGAGATTTCTCATAATTAACATGCATTATAAGCTTCTCAATCAACATTATATCACAAGCATATTATTTCACCCATTTTAGCATAAATCCAGATTCAACACACAATTTCAATCATACCAGTCCTTATGCATAAATCAATAACCAACCAAAGAATTGTAACACTGGAAGACATCCTAACATGTTACAATTCCATGCAAACACAAATGCAGACACGATGCATGTGGTACCAATCACGTGACCAAGTCACCCAACACTGATCCATCATCAACCGGATACAGTAACCATCGATTCGTCCATAAACACCGGACACGAATCCAGCTGATCCATCATCAACCGGATACAGCAATCCATCGATTCGTCCATAAACACCGGACACGAATCCAGCCTAACCACCCATCATCACTCGGGTATCGGTTAACGGCAATACAAGTCAAATTCCACACAATGGGAATTAACTTCACCAAAACAATGCATATGCATGCACATCACCAGCATGCAACATCAAATCAGTCTATGAAATACATCAATTTATCATAACTGAACCAAAACCAAAAGAAACATGATATCATTATTTATCATACACACATCAAACAGCATAAACATGCACTTCATCCACAAGGACCTGATACAATCAATTATCATGGATACACCATTGCATATACACCAAATATGCACATAATAACAAACTGCATAATCGGAAAGTCAACATCAAATCAACGGAATATGATCACAACATAATTCCAAATAATGCCAAAACCAATATATCACATGATCACATCTCAATCATAATGGATAGAAGGCACAACACATAAGTATCAGTTCTCATTCACCAAATCAGAACAATTTACAAACAATTCTACATCATTCTCAAAATACCAAAGTTTACAAAAATCGGGAATTCGACTCTTTTTAAAATAATTTTCATAAAATAATATTTTTCTTATTTCATAAGATAGTATTTTTAATTTAAGAAATACTTCCGAAAACGGCACTCAAATCGGACTTACGGTTGGAAAGTTATGAATTTTCAAAGTTTAATATTTTTCAAAATCACGCTTTCTGGAAATTGTATGGGAACCCGGTTCCTACCTATACAGGAACCGGTTCCTACGTGCGTTTTTGCAAGTTTTTGTAAATTTTCACAGTGGAACCCGGTTCCTCCCCATTGGGAACCGGTTCCCACGATCTGCAGAGTCAAAATCTGCTATTTTGACAGCATTATTCATTCCAATCCCATCCAATTCATACCCATACGAATTATAACATTTGGAACACCAAAATGCAACCAATACACATCAATACAACACCATAAATCATGTTTCCATAATTCCTATTATTTATTCATCATATTAAGGGTTCCAATTCCTATACTCTGACACAATTAGGGATAATCTCACAAACCTAGAATTCCAAAAATTGAGATTCCTAACATGCTTAATTAATTCTATTGATCTCAAAATCTATCAGGCATATTAAATAATTGAAATCACCCCTTACCTCGTGATGATCCTTCGAATTCACGGTGTTTGGCTTTTTCCTCTTTTCTCTTCTCTTCTCCAATTTCACGTACAATGGCTTCTTTCCAAATAACCTTCTTTTTCTTTCTTTTCCTTTTTATCCTTCTTTTTATATTTCTTTTATTATTTTCCAAATAATAGAAATAAATTAGTTATTATTTAGTAGAGCTTTTTACTTCACACACCTCTAATTCAACCTTACACCCCACGGTCTTCCTTTTTAATTTCATAATTAATTCATCCATTTAATCCAAAATATTATTAATTAAGCCTTTAATTAATTTAATAATTAAATTCCTAATTATTTAACAATTGAATTAATTTGGGGTGTCACAACTCTCCCCAACTAAAAGAGTTTTCGTCCTCGAAAACATACCTTAGACGAACAGTTCGGGATACGAGTCCTTCATCTGACTCTCCAGCTCCCAAGTGACATTTCCATCTGCTGGTCCTCCCCAAGCCACTCTTACCAACGCGATCTCCTTGCCTCGCAACTGTTTCAACTTCCGATCCTCAATTCTCGCAGGTACCGCTTCCACAGTCAAATTCTCTTGTACCTGTATATCGTCTACCCGAATCTCATGAGACGGATCAGCAATGTACTTCCTTAGCTGAGATACATGAAAAACATCATGCAAATTTGCAAGTGACGACGGCAAAGCAATCTGATAAGCAACTTTCCCAACTCTCTTGGTAATCTGAAACGGACCAATAAAACGTGGAGTCAACTTCTTTGACTTCAAAGCTCGACCAATACCAGTCATCAGAGTAACTCGCATAAAAACATGTTCTCCTTCGCTAAACTCAAGATCTTTCCTCCTCTTATCATGATAACTTTTCTGACGACTCTGAGAAGTCCTCATCTTCTCCTGAATCATCTTAATCTTTTC